AAATCAGAATTATTAATTGGTCAATGATCACGTGGGGTGAAAATTTGATGGCGATACTGGGTAGTCAACAAGTATCACCAGTTTCACTAGTATTACCAGTTTCACTGATATTACAAGTATTACCAGTTTCACCAGTATCACCATTTTTACCAGTATCACCAGTTTCACCCAGTTCCACCAGTATTACCAGTTTTACCAGTATTACCAATTATCAGGTTTACCAGTATCATCTAGTTTTACCAGTTTTACCAGTATCACCAGTATCACCAGTTTACCAGTTTCACCAATGTTGATTGGTGATTAGTGATTGGTAAAAATTGGTACACTATTATAGTTTAGTTTCACCTGCAACTCTAATACGTATATACAATAGAAATATACACTATTGTCACAGTTTAAATTTTAAATCTGTAATTTTGATATAACTTGGTAATACTAAAAGCCCGAATGACTTGAGCCACAAGAATATTATAAGGCTTCTAGATGGCGATAGAGGCTTAATAACATAGACTAACTCCGGTAAATGGTTGTTTATCTAATATACAATAAGTATGATAGAAGATAAATCTGAAATTGTTAGCATCCGATTGTTGGCATGCATAGCAACAATTGTTATTAACCAAGGCTGTGGACAATTGTTCACGGCCTGCGCACAATGCTGCTTTACAGTGTTAATAGTACAAAGAGAGTTTAGAAGATTGGGATTTAAAGATAGCACAGTAACCCTTGATATCTTAGTTATAGAGTTTATAATAAGAATCAGATTTTCACATGTATTAAAGTTATGTATTGTTTTATTAGTTTAGTTTTATACTTTTATTATTATATTTCTATTCTCTTGCATTTCTTATTTTATCATTATATAATAAATTACCTGATAATTAAAATTTGTTCTGTTTAAGTGATAATCCTGACTTAGTTTAAGAGTTTCGTGATATCACATCACGTATACAAGAGTTATAAATCTCGAACCAAGCTAACCATTGGAGCTAAATTGGATTAATATTTGCAATTGCTCTTCTAACCGATAGTAACACTATAGTAAGACAGCATGTCATATTAGGCTATATAAATATATATTTGGTATTAAAAAATATTAATTAATGGCTGCTATTTACTACATACACATGATTTATCTTCTTTATTGGTATAGCAAAAGTTAATACGTATAAATTAGTTATTATACTACAAGAAATTAATTAGATTGTATATGAAAAATAAAAATAAAATATAAATTGCTACGCCGGTAAGAAAGGTAAGGGTAAGTCATATAGATGTTGTATATCAGTAGACCACCATTTTTCTAAAACCAAATCTTATATAATTTTGATTATATGAATAATACTAGTTAAAATTTCATTGAATCTGATATACTTCGAATATAAAATTATAGCTTCGAAATATCAAAGATTCAAAAATCTAAAAGTTTATCAGATTTTCTAGTTTGTAAATGGGTAATCATTGTGATTTACTAGATTCTCATAGTACAAGTTTTATTGATTTTAGACGACTATCCTTACCACTATTGAAGAATTAATTGTGTTCTACATATATTTGTCAATTGATTCCAATTAGATAAATAATAATCATCTTTACTATTATAAGCAAAAACCTGCAAAATTAGATATTGAACCTGAAGCTTATTTTCCTGCATGTATCATGTGAATTTGAGGTCCAAGGATCTAAATCATCTCTGTATAAATTAGTAAGATGCTTATTGCATAACAATAATAAGATTTGACTACAGAAAATAAAACTGTTAGAAACCAGGCGCTTTTAAATTGAGTATCAGTAAAGTAATACTATGTCTTTTGAAAAAGCCTTACCTTATATACTGTATATAGATAATGCCAAATATAAAAAATTTGTAAACATGATAAATTATTTTACTTTAAATATAAAAGCATCTGTTTAATAAAATGCTATTAAGTTTAGATACTTTTTAATTTGCTAAATGATTATATTTAGTTCTACTCACAATATATCTAACAATTTGCCACTAAAAAGACCAAGAATGGCTGTTAGTGAATCTTTAAAACGTGAAATATGCGAGTATAGTCAAAAAAATCTTAATAAAAAACAAGCAGATATTGCTAAACACTTTAATTCCAAAGATTCTAGTTTAAACTTAGATCGAACTACAATATCTAAAATTTTAAAAGATAAATCAAAATAGTTAGCCATCACGAATGATCAATTAAGTTCTACAATTTTTTAGCATAAACCTATAAAATATCCTTTATTGGATCAAGCGATAAGCCTCTGGATTGAACAAGTTACTAACGGTGATATGATTGTAACAAAATTAATGATTAAAGAAAAAGCTGCTGATTTCGCAAAAGCTTTGAATTTAGAAGATGACACTTTGAAATTTTCAAATAAATAGATTTATAAATTTAAACACTGTAATAATCTTAGAAGTTTTTGGCTACATGGGGAAGCAAAAAGTGCACCATTGTTTTCCCTTCCAGAGTATAGACAAAATTACGTGAATTAATCATGAAATATACCTTGAATAATGTATTTAATGTAGATGAACTGGTCTTTTTTTTCATATATCACCAGACCAAATACTTGCGTCTCAATCAAGGCCTGGATTTAAAAAAGTTAGTCGATAATAAATTATAATTAAAATTTAGCTAGTAGTAATTTTCTAATAGTACCTGGGATAATCTCAGTTGGTTCTCACTTTTCCAAAATCTACTTTCCCCAAATATCATTTTTACAACTACATAATTCTTTTTTCTGACAAGACATATTTCTAACAGTATACAGTCAGACCTCTCTAAATACAATGCGATGAGATCATATACAAAAATTTAGTCAAACATGCACTTAGAGAGGTATTGCATTTAGGGAGGTAAAAATCTATAGATATAATATTAGTTGAGCCCAAGAGAAGGCGTGCATTTAGAGAGGTACTTCATAGGATGTGCACTTAGAAAGGTAGCATTTAGGGGGTCTGACTGTATTTTACTGATAGAAATTACCAAATTTTTATTTTTCAACAGTCTGAATTTCTGAAAAATTTTATTCGACAGACTTTTTCATTATATCGGCATATCAGTAAAACAAACATTTATCTTTTTAATATTTGGTGCCAGATAAATAACTTATTAGTAAAATTTATTATCAATTAAATGATATTTCAGTAAAATGAGACTTTCAGAATTATGTCTTGTTAATAAAATGAGATGTTAGTACTATAATTTTGGTAAAATGGTATTTTAGTAAAATTGATTTTGGGAAGTTAATCTATAATCCTGAAAAAATATTTAAGATTAGGGTGAGATTACTTCAGGTGTGATTTTCTCGATCATTATACCAAGATTATGATTAATGAATAATATTTTGATCTATATGTGAATAAGCAGAAACTTCATTTCTGCTAATCCCAATAGATCAGGAAATTATTATTATTTATATTTGTAATAATCATTTGTTTTTTATATGATAATTAGGATCGTTCACATATCACTATTATATTAGCATGCAATGCAAATAGAACTGAAAAATTAAAGCTATTGGTAATCGGATCTTCAATTTCTTCTTATACACTTTATCGTGTCAATTACAATACTTTACTCGTTATTTATCGAGCAAATTCCTGAGCATGGATACGAAATGATATTTTTTCTGAGTGGTTAAAAGATTTGGATCAAAGATTTCACATTCAGAATCGCCAAGTCTTGTTATTAGTAGATAATGCCTCTTTGCATTTTCACAAACAACCTAATGTAGAAAAATCATATGAATTAGATAAATCAAATTCTAATTCAGATGAAGAATTGTCTGATAATAATTCAGAACCTGAAATATTAACTACTTTACATGGGAATCGTCAAGATCGAGGGTGTCCAAGATTAAACAAAACCAATAATTGTAGTAGCTGTGATAGCCGTAGCAGTCACAGTGTTGGTGGTAGTATAGGCTGTTATAGCAGTGGTTATGGCTATCTGCGTACTATACCTGATTATTCGAATATACAATTAACTAATATCAAGCTTGAATTTTTGCCAAAAAACATGACTTCTCACCTCTAACCTATGCATGTGGGGGTCATTAAAAGCTTCAAGTCTAAATATAAGCAAAAATATATTAGACATATATTAACACTGTTTGAAAAAAATGAAGATTTAACAAAGTAAAAAAATTCAATTGTGCAATACAAAATTAATTAATTAGCTCTCATTAACTTGATAATCACAGGTTAAATCAATAATATCGGGCACATACCGGGAGACAAGTTTTTTGTTATGTACCTGATAGTCTGCTATAGATTTACTGCTAAATAACAATAGAATATGATAAAATATTGAAAAGATATTGGGAGGTAGATAGATATTAGCAACATAATAGCGAAATATTAGAATATCCTAATATCTTACTTTTAGACCCAGAATGCTAAGAGTAAGATATCAGAGTATTCTAATATTGTGCTATTATATTATTGATATTGATCTATCTTCTGATATCTTACCAATATTCTGCCAATATGCTACTGTTATTCAGCAGTTATTTGGTGGATCTATGACAGACTATCTGGTACATAACAGGAGACTTGTCTCCTGGTATACACCCGATATTCATTAATTCAATCTGTGAATGTTGGGTCTATATTATTTCACTGACAATCACTTTATAGATGCTATATTTCACCAACAATTATTTATCGACAAATTCATTTTACTGACAGTCACCGAAGCTTATTTCACTGACAAATTTTTTTTTATAAATTATACTAATTTTAACTCTAATTCTAACCTAACTCTAATATTATTGACCAGAATTACTTTGCCTGTAAAATGAGCTTTGGTGAAATAAACTGTCAGTGGAATAAACTTGTTAGTAAATAATTTTAGTGAAATGTAGTGTCTACAAAGTGACTATTGGTGAGTTGATCAGAACCCATTTTTAAAATACAAATATTATAAGAAATAATGAATTAAAACTAATTTTGTATGGTTTTATCAATTTAAAGTTTTTACTATATTACTAATTCAATAAATTTTTTATTTTAAAAAAAAATAAATATTAAAGATGCTATCTATTATGTATCTGAGTCTTGGGATGCAATTGATGATCAAATAATTGCTAATTGTTAGAAGAAGACCAGAATTTTGCCATCTGTTTCTTATGAAGAAATAGATACCGCTATTAGTAATCAAGACATGTTATTAGAGCAGTAACAACAAGACATTGATACATTGGTGGTAGATTTGACCTCTCAAGATCTGGATCCAGCAATTAAGCATCAACTAAATATATATTTAGATCTCAATAGTTTGTCTATTTTAACTGAGAAAAAGCTTGAAGATTCTAAAATTATCGAAATTATTCTGGATGAAGTGAATCAAGTTAAAAATGGTGATCCTAATAATACAGATGAAGAAAAACCAGAAATTTCAGTTTTAGAGAGTTTGAAAAGTTTAGATAAGTTTATTAGCTTTTTTGAACAACAAATCGATAATGATTTCAAAACTGAAGATCTTAAAATTTTTCGTAAGTACTTACTATTAGTGAACCGAAAATATATTGAATCTAAATGGCAAACATCTATTAGTGATTTTTTCAGACTGTTAGATAATGAAAATAATAGCATATTATAATTTTTTTTTTTTTTTAGAAGTAGTTTTATTCTCTTGTATTGTGAAATTTTAAATATATATAATATATATAATTATCACATATGTATCATTTATATCAGAAGTTTGTAATAGCTTACATAACTAAATATATATAGTTCAATATAAGAATAGCTTTCTTTTGCAATCTATAAAACATTATGTCTCTGTGATTATTAAAAACATCTAAACTAACTAGCTTAAATAAAAGAGTAAAAATGAGTGACTTATTATTGAATTTATGTAATTCGGGTTGCAACTGTGATCAGAACTTGTGAACATGTTATGCAAAATTGATTATAACAAGCTACAGGTATGGTAAAATCTTACTGTAAGTAATAATAATTTGTTACACATAGTCAATACATAACTTTAATTTGGGTAATATGCATTTTGCCAACAATCAATTCGCGAGACAGCTTAGTTCACCAATAATTAATTTACTAACAAGTTTATTTCGCTAACAATTAACTTACTGACAAGTTTATTTTACTGACAATTATTTCACTAATAGCTCATTTTACTGACAAAATAATTCTGGACATTGTTGTTAGTGTCAGGTTAGAATTAGAGTTAAGGTTAGTATAATTTATAAAAAATATTTGTTGGTGAAATGAGCTGTCTGTAAAATAAATATCAATGAAATGAATTTGCCGATAAGGTAATTGCCGGTGAAATGAACTTGTCTGTGAGTTGATTGTTGATGAACTAAGCCTTCGGTGAAGTGATTGTCAGTGGAATAACACGTATTCTTTATGTAAAAATTTAAAATTTTATTATATATTTATTTTTTTACTTCTATTAAATCACATTATATATATTTAATATAATTTGTACTTATATAGAGGTAAAGTTTATATAATCATACTTCTTTATAATCACCATATTAGTATGTGTCCAACTGCATGATTATAAGGAAGGATGACTGTATAGGCTAATTATTTAAATCGGTAGCCGATTATAGATCAAATGCTTAATTTTAACATTTAATCTAAAATCGGGTACCGAATTTAGACTGATTGTTATAAATATTCGCCTAAATTTGGTACTTGATTTTAGGTTGAATATTAAAATTAAGTATTTAATCTATAATTGGCTACTGATTTAAATAATTAGCCTATAATCAGATACTGATTTAAACAATTGGCAATCTTTTTTTTTTTGACTAGTATTTTTTGGGTCGAATCTAGATCGCTTATTTTGGCTAATTCAACCTGAATTCACCCAAAATTTGCCAATCAACTACTGATTTGTGGTCAAATTTTGGCCAATTTCTGGCTAATTTGGGGTTGAATTTCACTTTTTTAGCTAGTAATTATTACTATTTTTTAAATCTTCTTATAAATTAACTGATCTACTATTTGTTTTATTCAACTTTAAATTATATAACAAATTTAAATCATTATAGGTTTCTTTGATTGTTTTAATATTAATGGTTTTCTTAATATAAGTAGTCTTCTTAATATTAAATATACTTATCTAAATCTTCATAATTATAATCAATTGGTTGATTTAATTAATATAAAATTTATAAGTTTCAGTAAAAATAAACTAATTTTTCAACTCGTTTATCATCTAATCTATTACGATTTTTTGTATAGATAAATTTAAATATAGACTAATTTTTTTCACTTGAGGCAAATGATGCAAGTATTAAAAGAACTTTTAATGCAACTTCACTTAAGTTTGAAGTATAATTACTTACTAAATTTTACTATTCAATCAGATTTTTTTAATTTGGTTTACAAATATGTACTAGAAA